AGAATTCATCGAACCAGACCCATACCCAAACCTGAAAAATATAGGGTGGGACTTGGACCCGGACCCAAACCCAAATCTAACCGGATGTATTTAATTATATTTAAATATATTTCATATATTGGGATCCAAAACAGAACTCAGACCCGAATCTGACCGGACCGGATTCGACCCAAACCCAGGCCCAAATAGTATTTGGGTCCAAGATTTGGATCCGGTCCAGACCCGTAGGGTCTAATTTTTGGACCCAAATCGGGTTTACCCCTTAGATCCCAAGTTAGGTCGGGTCTGGGTCCATTGCCACCCCTACTTATGTCATTATGATGCGAATAATATTAGGGTTATTTTAATTTTTAATTATTCTTTTATTTATCTCTTCAGGAATACGGTGCACAGGGATAATTAGGTGGGTATGAATTTATAGAATTTATCTTGTGCATATTGATAAATTGGATTGGGTTAGTTTAGGAGTATAAATAGATAAGGTTAAATTAGGAGAGCTAGTTTAGGAATGTAAAATGATAATGTTAAAAAGTAGTTTTTAGGCTTCGGATAAAAGGGGATGGTACGTGAGGTTAAGGGAAGAGAGTGAAAATGAGGAAGAAGAGATAAAATGGGAAAAGTGTAGAGAGGGTTTTTCTTGTTAATGTTTATTTTATTTTTTAGTCTATTTAAAGGGAGGTTACTTTTCATTGTAAAAAATATGGATGAGTTAATAAAATTTGGTCCCGTAAGGAGATATTTGGGGTGAATTCCCTCGCAGACCTTGAAAGAGGGTATATTCTCTCAACTTTTGGGGTGAATTCCCTTGCAGACCTTGAGAGATGATATATTCTCTCAAACTCTTTCCTTTTATTTTTTTGTTATTATTTTTTTCCATCAAAGCTGCGTCAATTGATATCAGAGCAAATCAAATCTTGAGAGCAAGTTAGGTCCCGCGAGCAAGTTAGGTCCAAAGTTTACAATGCCACAAAAAACGAATCAAGCTAATCCTGCTCTTATGGATGATTGTTGGGGGCAAGTTATAGAAAATTTTATTAATGCCGTAAAGGATTTTTGAACTAAAGTACGTGAGATGATTCAGATGTTGCAGCGGTTGGAGAACAATCTTACTCGTGAAGAAGAAACTCACAACCACATTCATCTTGTACCAGTAATTCCACGACAAATCCAGGGTGTTGATTTCAAGCATATTGAAGAAATTTACAAGCCAGATCCGTTGTGTTCTATAGAGAAGCCAGATCCGCTGTGTTCTATAGAGAAGCCAGATCCGCCACGTCTTATAAAACGACCACCAAATTTTGACATTAAAATCGATCTCCCAAAAATTCATGGTAAAGCGTGTTCATCGATTGAACTTTGTATTTTTTTGGAGCTGTACCAATTCTTGGTTAGGAATAATCAACCCAAGCTCATATTCAACGATTACTCTTGAAACACAATTGCAGACATCAGTCTTGAAGAAAAAATATCGAGGCTCATGGTGAGACTTCATCACCAACTTAACTTTTGAGCTCGAGGTCGAGCTTCTCCCAGCCTGAGAATAAATGATGCAAATAATATTAGGGTTATTTTAATTTTTAATTATTCTTTTGTTTATCTCTTCATAAATAGGGTGCACAAGGATAATTAGGTGGGCATGAATTTATCGAATTTATCTTGTGCATATTGATCAATTGGATTGGGTTAGTTTATGAGCATAAATAGATAAGGGTAAATTAAGAGAGCTAGTTTAGGAATGTAAAATGATAAGGTTAAATAGAACCTAGTTTTTAGGCTTTGGATAAAAAAGGATGGTACGTGAGGCTAAGGGAAGAGAGAGAAAATAGGGAAGGGAAGAGAGAGAAAATAGGGAAGAACAGATAAAATAGGAAAAGTTTAGAGAGAGTTTTTCTTATTAATATTTATCTTATTTTTTAGTACTCTCAAACCTTGAGAGATGGTATATAAATTTGGTCTCGTGAAGAAATTTTTGGAGTGGATTCCCTCTCAGACCTTGAAAGAGGGTATATTAGGGTGGATTCCCTCTCAAACATTGAGAGAGGGTATATAAATTTGGATTCGTGGAGAGATTTTTGAGGTAGATTCCCTTTGAGAACTTGAGAGAGGGTATATTCTCTAAACCTTGGGGTAAATTTCTTTGCAGACCTTGAGAGAGGGTATATTCTCTCAACCTTTTATTTTTGTTTTATTTTTGTTTTATTTTTTTACATCATAATATCAGTCCACCATTCTGCTACGAACTCTTATATGAAACTAAAATTAGCATTTTTTAGTTTAGAAACATCAATAATAAATTATTATCTCGAATGGCATAGTCTCTACCTAATTTTTTATATTTTGTCATCAAGTTACTTGGAATTCATTTCTAATTATGAAAATTAGTGTTCGCAAAATCAAAACAGAACGGTTAACCGGACATGAGTCTGAAAGCGGTTTAACCGGCCTAACCAGTAAACCGATCGATTCAACCGATTTAATCGGGCAAGTCCCGGGCGGTAAAAAAAGCTTTGAAAATAAATAAAAAAATGCAAAAAATAATCTATTAAAATATGAAAAACTTATAAAGGATGATTAAAACAAAACACATTCAAATGTAGTTAAAAATTAATGAAAAAAACTGAATTTTAACCCATTTTATATTTTCCAAAGGCTATTTTTAATTTTTTTAAAAAAATATAGAAAAATATAAAAGTGAGTATTAATGACGAAAACAATTTTTAATCTTTACCATAATGACAAATCAAATTCTTTATTTTTTCAAAATTTATATACATTTTTTTGAATATATTTTTTTTAAAATACCGGTTGATCACCCTAACCGCCCAAATCCGATTCCGATCTAATCGAGCGGTTAGAACTGGCGATTTTACAAACAATGGCGAAAACATACTAAATACCAAAAAAAAATCCAGGTTTTTCGACATGGTTTCGGAATGTACGCCACTATTCACAAGCAGTCTCTTCCAAAAACCAATGACTTTTGGATCGAAAAATTTATACCTTGATAATCTCGACCAATTATGAATCTAAAAGAATTTAAAAATATATCTTTTAAATTTTGTTTTGGAACCATTTTTCACCGTACATCTTTATAGATCATAAGATCTCGACCATTTTTTTAATTGCGAAATTATAGAACCAAGCAAAAATACATGGGGCTTGAGATGCATTCCTAAATTCATCTCTAAAGGATGAGCTTTGGGATGGGAGCCACATTGAGGGTTGACCTCATTTAAGATTTTTTCCCTCTTTCTATATGGAATTAATCCTTTCTCCTATTGAAAAAAGGTTTATACAAGATTGGAGCTCCAAATAATGCACCTTAAAAATACAATAGAAGAAGTTGTTTTGATATTAAAAAACCCTTAAATCTGATCATCTTAACTTTGATATACATAGTAGTTGCGGAATAACAAAAATTCAAAACTTAGAAATAATGTATTTTATAATGTATTATCATTAATATTAGAGATTTTCAAGTGTTCATAGACCTTCTTGATCTACACGATTTTTAAAATTTTAAATTTTATAATTAAAAAAAATGAATTTTCAGGCATTTATAAAACTTTTCGCCACCAAAATGACATCTTTTACCATTATTTGAATGGTTAGGGCTTTAGCCTTATACAAACCACACCCTATCTTATTTTATAAAAAAAAATTTGGTGACTAAGCCAGAGTCAACTCTCTCAATGTGTGTTCTCCTTTTTAAAATCTATCTTAAAATCGGATTATAAAAGGGAAAGTGTTATGCGCGTTGGAGTAAGCATTCTTGCATGTGTCCATCGTGGCATAAACTATCCATCCAAAGATGGGGATGTAAATGATGGTCCCTCCCAAAAAGGTCAAATCAATGGTTCAAATATTTTTTTTTTTAAATATCATTTTATTTTCTCTAGACATTAATGATCTCAATGTTAGAATTATATATTGCTTAAAATTAGGGTTAAAATAGTTTTCAAGAATGTACTATCAAGAGGGGGCACATTTCTACATATGAGTCCACGGATTCATATAAATCGTGTTTATTATAAATCCATTTTTTTAATTTTGAAATCCATCCTAATTATATATATTGGATCCAAAATTTTAAGATTTGTTATTCTCAATCATCATAATCATAAGTTTTAAATTTTACCATAAAAATAGTATTTTTTTTATATGTTTTTATGCACTTTAAGTTTAAAAAATATATTTATAAGGATGCAGCCTTATTAAAATAAGTAAAGCCTCACCTCATAGCTCACTAGAAATTGTAATTTTGGTTTCAAAAAAACTTTATATCGATCATCTCCGCCTTAATTATATGATTGTAGAAATTTTTTTTTAAGCATTAAAAATAATATATATTGTAATATATTATCTATAATGTGTATCTCGCCCTAAAAGTAAGTATTGCATTTTTGTAAGATCTGTACATTATTTTAGCTTCAAACTGAAGTAGGGGTTGGAAAATTTCGTTTTAGAGCCGCCCAAAGTGCCTTTTAGACCAAAATTCGACGTGAGGCTTTACTTTTTTTTTCATAAAACTTCAGCATAAGTTTTAGTTGAGACGTCAATCCATCTTTGAGAGGGACGGACGAAGAAGGACACACATGCATGGTACCAAATACGAAAAGAATCTGGAGATTCCCTGAATCATTTCGTTGCGCTTTGTATCGAGCAGAGGGTCTAAACAATCAAATTAGAACCCCCCTACAAATAGTATTGAGAAATATAGTTCGAAATATTACTGTTTTAAAATATATATATTTTTTTAATTATAGAATTTAAAGCTTATCAAGCAAATTTATAAAAATTTGATAATTGACCACCTAAAAATGTATTGCAAGATGAATTATTTTCAAAACTTGGAATGTATTTCTTTCGCACGTCCATTATGTCTTGATGTTGAGATGATCAATTTGAAGATATTTAGACAACAAAACAATCTCTTCTATCAAATTTTTTGAGCGGGCTCTAATTTGAACGTTTAGAAGCTCGGTTCTATATACACTCTTTTCTTTTTTATTATTATTTATACAGCATTCGAGAGGAAACTCCATTAATCAGACGGAAGACCGCCTAAAGCCGTGAGGGCCTCTTTGTCCACGTAAATCAAGGTAAATTATCGAGTTTTTCCTTATGTAGCCAAACATTCATGCTCTTTTTCATGTTTGAAAAGCTTTCTCTAATTCACCACAACAGCTCATTTCATGGCTTTCAATGGAGGTCTCGATTCTTCAATCTGAAAAACGAAATTTTTTTGAAGCTTTTCCTTGTATTCTTACCAGTTTTTCTTTGGACTTCTTGCTATGTTGCTCGCCAATTTTGAAGATTTTCTTATATGAAACTGTTACTTTCGCAGATAAATGGAAGGGAAACACGCTGGCTTTCAATGGAGGTTCAAGTTTTTGCTTGGATAACTGCTCTGGAACAATCTCTGGAAGCTTTTGCTCATCTCCAAAGAGATTTTTGCTGACAAAATCGCGTATTTTGAGCTTAAACACTTAGTAAGAGAGTTTTAAGTATCCTCTCAGTAAATACCAAAAGAATATCCTGGGCGTAAACTTCGCCATTAATGCTCTATTTTAGGAAACATGTGCTGTATCTTGTTATGACATAGGGCATGGTCTTGTTGTCTTGTAAGTTGCACATGTTATTATTTAAAAACCGCCTCAACAAACGTTCAGCACGTTATATTGACTGTTAGGCAAGAGAAAACCTAATGCTTCTTTGAGGTCATTTAAAAATTCCTTTTTTTCCATAAGGCTAGGGTTTTACTTTGTTCACGGTCATGGACGTTACTTCCTATTGAATATTTGATTTTTTGTTTAGAGTTTGAATTTGAAAGAGTTGAAGTCTCTGTAGATGAAGTAGACAGCAGAGGAGCAGCAGATGATCAACGCAGGAATGGATCGCTTGCTCACAAAGTTTCTCAGACCATAAAATCAGCCATGAATTCCTTAAAAAAGGAGAGTGATAATGTGGAAGCTAATAGGTTACCTGGGCATTCTCCTTTGGGAAATTCAGTACTTCAGCTATCTTCAATGGAAGGTGTACCAATTGCGACCTCATCTCCGAGAGGTCAGATCTCACTTCATTTTTTATGAGGAATTTGATCCTTTTTGTTGATATTGGTGCTTGGAATGAAACTTTGAGCATGTTGCTGTTGATTTGAATTGCATTTTTCTTTCAATATGTTATTGACACTAGTCATAGATTTGGCCCAAGTTTCATAGCTGAGAGAATGGGGCAATGCTTCCTAACTGGGCTTCCCATGTCACATTGCTTATATAGTTTTGACATTTGAATGCGCTGGTTGCCTCTTGGTAAGAAATATGGCTGTTGTTTCTATATAAGAGTGATATCTACTTTCATGTATGCAAAAATATAAAAATAAATCAAGGGAATGACTTTACTTGTGCTGGGATTATATGGCCGGAGAATGAGAAATATTTCTCTCATTGTTCACAAGGATGTGTGCCTCTATGGGATGGAAGAGTAGTTTTAAGAACTGTCTTTGTGTTTCTCTGTAACCCAATTCCTCAAGTTGCAGTGTTACAGTATGCATAGCGAGCTGGCTTCTTATATGATTCTCTTGGGACATAGCTTTGCTGAATAGGGAAAATACATCTGAACTATTCATTGCACTGTTCTGGTCTATTAGGTTACAGACTCCATGGTAACTGAGGCCATTGTTGTGCTTCATTAGATTTAATTGCATGAGATTTACTTTTGGCACTGTAGTGTTAGTTGATACGGAATTTGTTAGTATCATGCAATGCATCTGAACTTTAGTACCTGGGGATCCTAGGAAGATCTATTTGGTATTGTCATGAACCCATCAGGATTCTAACTTTGGGAACTTAAATGCTATCCATGTAGTCTGAAGTCTCTTTGACTGCGTACTTTCCTCACTATGAGGAATATCTATGATAAAATTAGTGATCCACATTGAGAGCCTCACTTGATACACAGCTACCCTTGTAGAGATGTCCAGATATCAGCTACCCTCATAAAGATGTCATCTGGAAAGTTTGGCTTAAGAATTCCATTGTAACCTCTCTGGATTCGTGCATGTGGAACTCTCTCCTAAGTTGATCAGTCTCCTAATCTTAGCCGATAGAATTTCCTTTCCATATCATACTTCTCTATTTTAACAAAAACATCAATTGTCAATGTAAAAGGATTGGTGAAAGGCATCAATCTATAATATGCTAAAGGGTTGCTACATGGAAGTCAAAAGTGCATAACCCAGGTGGTTCGAGAAGCTTACAACAAGTGTATGGTGCCTTCCGACAGCGATCTCAGGTCTTTGAACTTGATTGTTTAAGTTATTTGGCTTGGTAATGAGCGCGTGGTATGTTCTAAAGGGGAATATTCTAGGGGGTGGGTGCTTGGTTTTAGTTTGATTCTTTCTTTTCTCACAAATGAATACACTGAACCATAATTAGTAATCTTCAACACAAACTCCCTCCTCCCACCCTCTCTGCACAAAGAAAAGGAATTAATGACAATTTCTATTAAAAATGTCATTTCCCTGATCCTTTTTTGTGTTCAGGTACTTGATTGCTGAGGGGGTCAATTCTTCATCATGGAACAACTTGTTTGTCCTTGGATGTTTCTACAGATATACTTCCAGATACCTACGTAGTTCTCTTATAAGGTTTAATTAATTTTTGAGTGATCTTGATAGATCTCTACGAGTGGTTCTCGCTCACAATTTTCTTATTGGTGGGACTCATAAGTGTTAAGATTGTTAAAAAATTTTGTCCTAACGCAATAGATTGAATTTGGTTGACAATTCTATTGTCGTCTTGTGGAACATTCTATCTTTGAGTTGAATGAACGAATCCATCTGTGTTAGGCTCTGTTTTTATATTGAGTTATTTTTAATGCTCGTTGAATAGATAAAAGGAGTGTGATCATACCCTGCAGTATACACAAGTTGACTACTTCTTGTTTATGTCAGTTTGTTGTCCTAGAAACTTCTATGGCTTTTGCAAAATTTATTTGAGTAATTTTGTATACATATTACTTTACATATCCATTCTTTCACATCCGGGTGGTTTCATCATCATCATCATAATTTGAGCCTTATCCTAATTATTTGGGGTCTGTTACACGAATCTTGTTATGCCACTCCACTCTATCAAGGGCCATAATCTTAGGTAGAGCATATGTTATATATTTTTTCACTATTTCCTTTTATGTCCTTTGGGGCTTTTCTTTGCCCTTTTAGACCCATCCATTTAAACCAAGTCACCCCGCCTAACTGGTGCTGTTCTACGTTGATGCTGCACATGACCAGATCACCATAGTCTATTTTTCCTCATTTTATCGCCTATTGGAACTACCCCTGAGTTTGCTCGAATTTATTCATTTCGAGTTCTATCCTTCCTTGTCTCTCCACTCATCCATCTCAACACCCTCATTTCAGCTACACTCATTCTATGGATATGTTATTTTTTGACCGCCCAATATTTTGTCCCATAAAGTTGGGCTGGTCTTATAGCCATCCTATAGAACTTTCCCTTTAGTTTCATTAGTATGCGACTATCACATAAGATTCAGAAGTACATCTCCACCTCATCCACCCAGCTCTAATTCTACGAGTAATATCTTCCTCAATCTCTCATTTCTCATGGATTATCGACCCAGGATATTCAAAATAATCTCTTTTTGATACTTCTTAGCAATCAAGCTTAACCATTTCTTCGTTTCTGCTCCTATTATTATGAAACTTGCCTTCCATATATTCTATCTTCGTCCGATTCATTTTAAAACCTTTAAATTTTAGAGCATCCCTCCAAAGTTGTAACTTTACGTTGACAGCATCTTTAGTCTCATCAATCAAAGCTATGTCAACCACAAACAACATACACCGTTGTACTTCATCTTGAATATGTCTTATGAGTTCATAACCAAAGGTAAGAGATATGAGTTCAACGCTGACCCCTATAGGCCTACTGTCACTAAAAACTCAGTTGTCTCTCTCCTAATTGTCTTCACACTAATTAGCAATCCCTCGTATATACTCTTCACCATGTCAATATCTTCTAGAGACCCTTTTCTTTTCCAACATCCACTAAATTATCTGAGTGGTTTCATTCTGATCGTAAGGAAATTTGTTGTTATCCTGGATCAAGTATGACTTAAACAAGTCTTTCTTAGCATAAGAAAGCAGCATGCATATACAAATACAAATATAGTATGTATGGGCCAGGCCGTAGACATGCCTTCTGTGTGATCTCGCAGTTGTTTTAATAATTAAAGAATTATTAGAAATGCAATTTCTTTTATTTATTTGAACGGGAAACTAGACATTGGGACAAACTGCGAGGCTACTCTCTCGAATATCAATTAGAGAAGTATTTAATGCTTTTAGCTCTTGACAGAATAATGCATAACAAGTTCATGTTATTATCATTTCACTTCAAATTTGAAGAAAAATTGATATTTATTGTCCCATGAGTGATGGACTTCTTCCATTTCTCTTTTACAGCTTTGGAGCATTGCAAAACAGCACCTGCAGGCACTAATATTTCCCAAAACTTGTTAATTGAAAACTCGCACATGGCATTATCAAGGTCTAAGACCGAGAAAAAGGATATACAAAAGCACGACTTGAAGTTAGATAGACTCTCCGATCGTGAAAAGGTAAGCAAGACACTCATTCATTTTTATCTGCTTCTTTTATATGGCATAATTCTCTCAGATGGTTTAATCTTGCTGTTTTGGCTTTTTTTAAGCGCTCTTGATCTCCTCAAGAAAATTTACTTTGAGTTGGAATCGGTGAAAACATACAAGTTTTTTCCAATTAGTTCTACACAATTAGATACTATGGCTTAATTTCAAAAATGTGGGTGGTATATGCTTTTAGTAACTGGATGCTTTCACAGTGTCAATATTTGTTTGGAACAATCAAGATGCATTTCTTTTAGAGTTACATTGCTTGTCTAACCATAGTTACTGGGAGTAGGAGCAAGAACGGCTCCGGTTCTGGGAGTGGGAGTGTTAGATCGACGGCTGCCCAAAGCTTTGGAGCTCGGGGAGCGAGTTCTGGTGAGGGTAGAAGTTACAGATTGAGATCCCGTTTAAATAGGGAGGGAGTTCCCGATACATTGGGATCGAGATCTTATTTAACGGGAACGTGTTCCATGTAAAATGGGATCGTGTTCCAATGTTCATAGGATTGCGCTCCCATCAACAATAGGTATGAGATCCCATTTAAGGTTGAGTTGCCCCTCATCTAAGAAAGACCGTGTTCCTATTTGGAAAGGATCGAGCTTTATTCAAGGTACTTTCTCAAAAAGGTTTGAATCTCCCTTTTTACTCTCCCCAAGAAACAAATATATTTTTTGAAATGATAGCTAGACATGCATTAAAAACATTGCGTGAAATGGAAATGGAAATGGTGAGCATAAAGGATATCATTAAAAATACTTTAAGTATTCATGTTCCTTGTGAACCCACAAAACTATATTATGTAAAAGTTAAATAAACCAAATGTTTTCTATAATTTTATTTTTTTCGTCTTAATATTTGATGAATAATAAATCTATTTTTATATTTCATTATAAAAGAATAATTCAGGTTTGTCCTTTATGGCACTAAACAGCAATTTACTCCATCCTTAGCACAAACTTTTTGGGTTGTGTTAATACATATTCTAAAACACACACGTGAGTGAGGGCATCCAATATTTTAATAATTAAAAATTTAATCATTACATGTGTATTTAATGCACATATTAAAAATAAAAAATAAAGGAGATAATATTTTAATAATAAAAATGTATCATTACGTACATTAAATGCAAAATTGATCAATCGATTTTTTTAAAACATATATTTCTGCGAACCCGCAAGACCATATTATGTAAAAGCTAAATAAACCAAATGTTTCCAATAATTTGATTATTTTTGTCTTAATCTCTAATGAACAATAAATCTATTTTTATATTTCATTATAGGAGAGTAACTCATGTTTCTCCTGGATGCCACTAAACAGCAATTTACTCCATCAGTAGCACAAACTTTTTGTGCCTTGTTAACTCGTATTCTAAAACACACACAAGAGTGAGGGCATCCAATATTTTAATAATTAAAAAATTGATCATTACATGCGCATTTAATGCAAATCTTAAAAATAAAAAATAAAGGAGATAATATTTTAATAATAAAAATTTATCATTACATGCGTTGAATGAAAAATTGATCTATCGATTTTTTAAAAAACATATATTTTTGTGAGCCCATATATATTATGTAAAAGCTAAATAAACCAAATGTTTTCAATAATTTTATTCTTTTCGTCATAATCTCTAATGAAGAATAAATCTATTTTATATATCATTATAGAAGAGTAACTCAGGTTTCTCCTTGATGGTATTAAACAATAATTTACTCCATTGGTAGCACAAAGTTCTAACACACACACACGTGAATGAGGGCACGAGATCTACAATTTAAAGGAATGTGTTCCTTGTGAAAATGGGATCGCGATCTGTGCGATTGTGGGATTGAGTTCCGTTATGAATGGGATTAAGAATCCTATAAATAGAAGCGAGCTCCCAAATAATTGGAATGGGTTCCGGTTGAGATCCCGGCCACAGAGTGTTGGAGCTGGGTTCCGGAGTGGGAGTGTCACCCTAGTTGGGCGCTTGCGGTAACTGTGTCTAACATGTTCACCCCATTATTTTGAATTTTTATCCCCTTAGCTCCTCTCTCTCCCCCCACATTACCCCTGTATTTCTCTTGCACTTCTTTTGCATTCCCATTGATCTCATATGTTTGTAGTAAAATTTCCTACATGTTTCCTGGGTGTTTCCTTGGTATTGCTCCATCCTTCTCTTGATTCTCCCTAGTGTTCCGTTATAGTCTTGCATTGATTTTCCACAAGCATTTCCAAAAGTTAAACAAGTGCTTCTCAAATCTTTGACTCCTTTTTCATTTCTACGCCTCCTTTTGAATTGTAAGTTCTATATTTCTCCAATTTCTATGAGCTGAAGGATCTTACACACCGAATTTTGCTAACTAACTAGGAAGAACTAACCATGGATGTCAAATTTAATTTAGATAATTTGGTAATCAGTTAGTTTATGCCCTACTTCTGCTTCTCATAATGCAGTCTTTGGACATGCCTCCTTTATAGACTTCAAGGTTCCAGCCTGTCTCAGCTTCATGATCCCTATACTGTTTATCATAATTTCTTTGCTCTGCGTGCATGAGTCTTGATCAACAATTTTCATAGTGTTCAGCAACAGTTGTTGAAATTTAACCCAGCTTCACACCTTGAGAATAGTTTTAGTTGTCACCATCCTGCCTAAACAATCTTGATTCTAGTCTTGGGTCTTCGCCCTTGGCTCTTGGCTAGTAGGTCAGATGAGAAGGCACCTTACTTTGAGGGCGTATTAGGGGTGAGCAGCTATCTAACTTCACAAGCCCCAAAGACTACCTTCTTGGTTTGCATATTCTATGGAAGACACCCTCGAGCAGATAACATACCTAGATAATTAATTTTTAAATTTTGGCAATAAATTGGCAACTAACTGAGGAACATGAAGACATTCAAGTAAACAAGTAGTAACGAGAGAAGTTTGTACTCAAATACTAAACTAGATGTTCCATTAGCAGTTATGACTAAACTATTTCATTTATTAGTTTGGTTGCTTGATAAGCGAGAGGAGACTTCAGTCATGTGATTAGATGCACTAGAATCAAGGATCCAAGAAGAATACTTGGATAAGTAGCCAAGGTTAAAAGCTTGTGAATGTGATGATTGTGCAAGTTTAGGGAAAATGCTTTGGGAATGAGGGAATTTTATGAGGGCAGTACGTCACATTCTGGTTTGTTCATTGTGGGTTGGAGCAATTTTCCAAACAAAAAAAAAACTAGGTGGCATGTGTTGGCAGCTTGGAGGGGTCTAATTGCCTAGGTGCTAGGCGGGCACCTCGGTTTTGAGGTGCCTTAGACACATACATATCTCTGCACTCCAAATGCACGTTTATGTATATATGTATAACTTATTTATACATGTATATATATCATTGTTGGCTGATCTTAGTGCCCGATACTCAATCCTCGATATTTTGGATGAATATTGAGCTCTAACACACCCAAAAATTCCTCTTATAACCTCCTTTGATAGATCACAATGCAACCAATATAAAAAAGATATTCTTAAATTTCTCAACTTTTTTTACCTAAAAACATTTGAGAAATCCAACAATTTTGTTGTTGTTGTGTTTTTTTTTTTTTTTTGGGTTTCAAGAACCTAAAACAAGTTTTGGGGGTTAAAATAACCCCCAACAAGCTACCCCTCATTGTTTTACCCCTCTTAAAAGGGGAAAATGTGACAAATGCCCTTGTTTGAGGGCAATTTCTGCCCTTGAGCATGGGGTAATTGCGGCTGGCATCTTGGCTTAGGTGGGAAGTGCCTGCCATATTTATCAAATGCGGCTACGTAACACATTATGCGGCTGAATCAAAGCAAATGCACACTTGGGCACACCGCATACACCTGCATATTCAGGATATCATGATGCACTTGCATATGCGAGTCATCAACTGCAAATACAGCCATCACCCTCAATTACGTGCCTGATATGCAGGTAACTTCTCGTGGCCAGAAAATGCTCAGTAGCTGGGGCATTTTGTTTTTGCCCCCACGAAAAGGGGAGGAAAGGTTTTTCTTTTTTGGTTGTCGGGGAGAGAGGTATATACCTCCCCAAATCCCCACATAGAACAATTTTTTTTCATGGTTCAAAGGGGATAAAATTATAGAAAATCATCAATATCATCATCGTCAAAGCCTTTTCCCAACTAATTAAGGTCGGCTACACGAATCTTGGTCTTCCATTCTGCTCTATTAAGGGTTATACTCTCAGTGAGGCCATAAGTCCCATGTCTTTTTTCAATACTTCCAACCATGACCTTTTGGGCCTACTTCTTGCCCTTTTTTAGCATTCCACTTGAACTAACTCGCACTTCTTAACAGGTGTTGTATTGGATCTGCGGCACACAGGGCCAGCTCATCTAAGTCTATTCTCTCCATCTTATCGTCTATTGGTGCCGCACCTAAATTTTTTGGAATGTATTCATTTTAAATTCTATCCCTTCTTGTCTTGCCACTCATCCATCTCAACATCTTCATCTCTGTTACACTCATTCTATGGATATATTATTTTTTGACTGCCCAACATTCCGCTCTATAGAGCAAAGCTGGTCTCACAACTGTTCTATAGAACTTGCCCTTCAGCTTCATTGGTATGTGGCGATCACATAAAATTCCTGTCGCTCATCTCCACTTTACTCCCCAACTTTAATTCTATGCGCGACATCTTCTCCAATCTCTCTATTTTCTTGAATTATTGACCCAAGATATTAAAGTGCACTCTTTTTGATATCTCCTGGCCGTAAACCTTAACTACTTCCTTGTCTCTACTCCTATTATTACTAAAATTGCATTTCATATACTTTATCTTAGTTTGGCTAATTTTAAAACTTTTAGATTCTAGAGCATCCTTCCGAAGTTCTAACTTTGTGTTGATGTTGTTTCTGGTCTCATCAATCCAAATTATGTCATATGTGAACAACATGCACCACAGTACCTTATCTTGTAGGTGCCTAGTTAAGTCATCCATATTAAAGACAAGGAGATATGGGTTCAATGCTGACCCTTGATATAGATCTATTGTCACTGAAAACTCACTCGTCTCTCCACTAGTTGTTCGTACTCTAGTTAGCGTTCCATTGTATATATCTCTCACTAAGTCTATGTAGTGTCTGGAGGCTCCTTTTTTTCCCAATGCCCACCAAATCAAGTCTCGAGGTACTTATGATTAAGCTTTCTCTAGATCAATAAAGACCGTGTGGAGGTCTTTTCCCTTTGCCCTAAACTTCTCAATCAGTTGCCTAAGCAGGAAAATAGCCTCAGTTGTTGACCTCCCATGCATAAAATCAAATTAGTTTTTTGATACACTCGTTTCATGCCTTAGTCATTGCTCAATCATCTCTCCTAGAGATTTATGGTGTGGTTCATAAGTTTGATCCCTCGATAGTTCGCACAATTCTGCATGTCTAATTTGTTCTTATAAATAGGTATCGCAGTACTTTTCCTCCATTCATCTGGAATTTTTTTTGTTCTCAACACCTTGTTGAACAATTGGTCTGCCAGTCAATGCCAATCTCCCCAATGCACTTCCAAACTTCTATCAGGATACTATCTGGTCCTAAATCCTTTTCTATCTTCATCCTTTTCAAAGCTTCTTTTGCTTTTGATATCTTAATCCAACGAATGTGCCAATGTCCTCTGCTCTCATTTTATGTCAACAGTTCCTTCTACCGCTATGTTCCCATTGTGTTTGTCATTTAATAATTTTTGAAAATAAACTCTCTACCTTTCGTTGACCTCTTCATTCTTCACCAATACCCTTTGATCCTCACTTTTAATGCATTTAATATGGTCTAGATTCCTACACTTCTTCTCTCTCATTTTTGTTAATTTAAAGACATCTTTTTTACCTTTTTCTTGTTCCCAATATACTTTATAGATTATCATATGCCTTAAGTTTGGTCTTAGTTACTATTTATTTAGCATTTTTCGTAGCATGTTTATATGTTCTAAGTTTTGATTTTTTATGTTATACTGTCAAGTTTTATAACATGAACATTTTTCGCAATGGCCTTCTGATCCCTATTACTACCGTCAAGTTTCCCTATCGAAATTTCTTTTTCTTTTGCCACTTTCTTAATAAAATCAACCATCTCATTCTACATAACATGGACCTTATATTCAGAGTTCTATTTTCCTTCTCTAAGTAATTTGTCCTTAAATAAATTTATTTTTCATTTTTTAAATTCAACCACCTATTTCTTGGACACCTATTAATTTTACCCCTTGCTTCCATGTCTTTATGCAGACATCTATAACCACGAGCCGATATTGGGTAGCCAAGCTCTCTCTTGGGATAATCTTGCAATCTTTACATGATGGTTGATCTACTTCTTAACTAGGAAGAAGTCTATTTGGCTTTTATGCGATCCATTTTATAGGTTATTAAATGTTCATCTCGCTTTTTAAAATAAGTGTTTGCTATTGTTAGGTCGTAGGCCATAGCAAAATCTAGAATAGTCTCACCCATCTCATTTCTTTCTCCAAACCCATATCCGCCATGTTCCCCTTCATATCCTCTACTGTTCTTCTCTACATGACCATTTAAGTCCCATCCTAAAAGGTCCTCTCTCCATTTGGTATGTCTTGGACTATTCCATCCGTGTCTTCCAAAAATTGTCTTTTAATTCTATTCTCTAATCTTACTTGTGGTGCATAAGCACTAATTACGTTAATTATCTCTTTCCCAAATACAAGTTTGATTAATAGGAACCTATCACCTATTCTCTTGACATGAACTACTTTATTTTTTAAATCTTTGTCTACTATTATTCCTACGCTATTTCTATTATTATCCTTTCATGTATACCAAATTATAAAAAATAATAGTGAAATTTTTTTATCGAATCTAAAGATTTCAATAATATTTGATGATTCCTTGGGTGGAAGATTCAATTTCTTTACGCAATGTTTTGAAGGATTTTACCAAGTAATTGAAGGATTAAGGGAAATAAGATTAAAACCTAGAAATTGAAATTCTTTTAACTTTGGGTTTGAGATGGATGTTTTTGTTGTGCATTTTTATTTTGTATGTCTTGATCATTTTGTATTTAGATGTTATGTACTTGTGAGGTACTTTTGGTCTTTGTAGTTCGGATGTTATGTGATGACTATTTGGCATTTTGGGTTTTGGCTATATGCTACAGCTTACATTGTACTGTACTTAGCTGCTATATGCTAGTATATTTTCTAAATGGTTGCTACTTTACTAGGTCACTTGGTATAATACATATTCTTTTGTGTTTTATGTAATTTAATGAATGACGTGGATTAATCTACTTTACATTTTAATTGCAGTTGACTATTAGATAATAGAGATGACAAATCTGTTAGTTGTGTTAAGCTATCAACAACTCAGATAGCGGATAGATTAGATACAAATACTAAATTAAAATGCCAACTATCACGAAATTCATATAATCAAGTTATTTTTTGTATTCTTATATTTTTATTATTTTTTAAGTTTTGTAAATTTATTTAGATCATCGGTAGTGATGTGCCTATATCAGGACCACGTCAAGCCACATAGCGCTCTGGACCCCCTGAGCCCATTGAGTATGCATCCCACATTTGATAAATTTGTCATTCACCTAGGTGTTGCCACAGGTGCTTGGGCATCCTCCCCGCATATGGACATGGTGCCCAGTGGGCCCACCGAGGCGTAGGTGGCCTGCTATGGTGCCCGAGCTGAGGAGGGGTGCCCCTAGGGACTAGGCAGGATATTTTTTGTAGTATTGTTGAAGGACTCTTCAATTGTGATGATGAGCGTGAAGCTGGCCAAAGGTCCTTCCTATGTTATAAGGAACCCTTCTGCGGTACTGACTGATAACATGGCATTACTCCTTGTAATCCTTTCACCAAAATCTGTCCTTACATTTGGTCGAATATCCTATATTTTGTATCAGCACTAAAACTCATTTTCATTGTGATCCTACTAGGACTCTTGTGGGCTAGGCAAGAACTGCTAGGGACTGATTCTTCTACATTTGGCATGGATAAGGTAGGAAACCGTGATTATCCTCAACCATGATTTCTGTGAGGGATGCATCAAATGTAGGACATTAACAGCTGAAGCAGAGAAGCTCTAAAATTCTCAAACTCTGGATGTAACCTCATTAAGAAGTGGGCATGAGGCTGCCTTTCAATTTCTGAGTGATGACTCATTGCTTCCTACAGAAATGGATCCTTGAACATAACAGGTTTTCACCATGTCTAGTTTAGTGCGCAATAAAATTCCTAGATACTCTTATTTCCTGGGCTTTAGATGTATTGCTTTGTTGTTGCATTGCTATATTGCATGAAAGTAGATTCTTTAGCCCATGTATTCTGTGTGGAAGTTGATTCACTTTGTATGCTTGCATTTAAAGTGAGGCATATAATCTTATGCTTAAGTTGATTATGTCATATATTCTACGTAATCGATTTTTTCTTATGCAAGTAAGATTGTATTCTCCATGTGTGCATTTATTGATGTTTCTTGCATAAGAATGTATTTTCTTTTCAGGATTTGGTTCTTTGTTTGTCTTTATGTAATTGTATGTAAATCACACTATTTGTTTGGAACCCCATGCATTATAGCTTTACTTCTGGTTGTAATCAAATGATAGAAAATTGCCATGTCAACCTAGTTTCCCTTTTGAAACATTCGAGCTACACGCATCTCCTATTGGTCCTTGTGTTCATGCTGCCTTGCCAGTTCAACAGACGATTTCTTTTTTGTTTCAAAATGTAATGCTTTCGCTTCTTCTTCTTTCAGAAGAAGATAATCGAGAATCTTGCCAGAGTACAAGATAATGGAATAGTGGAGGTTGATGTTGCTCTGAGTGCTCCTGTGGCATCGGAACTGTTAGAGCTCGATGTTGTTGATGCTGTACATGGTGATGTAGCAGAATTAATTGAATGTAGTAAATCTGTTCCAAAGTTAAAAGTTGCGATGCTTGTAGTTGGAACAAGAGGAGATGTTCAGCCTTTTGTAGCTATTGCGAAGCGCCTACAGGCATGTCGTTCTAGCTAATTAATTTCTTCATGCTTTGAAGTTGTCCCAATATGAGATTTATGATGTACAAATAGTATTTCCCAGGAGTAGATTTGCCCTTCGTGTATTTAGTATTGTTTGATCGTTGTTTCAAGGAGATTTTGGCATCATGGGTTTATTCTCAAGTCTCAAGATGAGATTGATAATCATCACTACTAGCTTTGAGGTAGCCTTATGGATTGGATACTAAAGTGTACACCTCCTGTCATACATGTGAAACTTGTCCTTCTCTCTCTCTCATACACACATGCACATATACATACATATAATCTGTGTTGTGCATGCATGTGCAAGACTGTGTGAGGAGGGACATATTTCTCCAAAAGACTAGAATCATAATGCTTTATTATTTCGATTTCCTTAAAACTGTTATATGGAGACTTAGTCTTTTAATTGTTCTTGCCTTAGATTCTTTATCATGTTCAGTATATCAATTTCTCTATTGAGGCATAATTTTAAGTGTTACGTGTATCTGGTATCTGTTGGGTGTGTGACCTTTGCATCCATGGTTGTAATGTTAACCATTGTTTTCTTTTTTGAAGATGTAATGCTAACCAGTTTTAGTGAAGGCTTTGACAAAATTATCGATAGATGGCAAACTTTGTATTGAACCATTGGAGTCTCCAAATGGAATCTCTAGCTTGAAACAGTTTGGTGAAGCTTTGTTTTATTTAGAGCTCTCCCTTTTGATAATTTCATGTGGTTCACCCTCTAGATTTTGTTCATTTAAGGTTTGTCTTGTTTGGAATGGACGATGAATATGCTATACATTTATAGTCAGAATTTTGTTTCTGTAACTGTAAGACCTTGTTTTATATTTGGGAGTGGTGATAATATTGAAACGTCGCATTCCATGTTATGTTAAAAGAGCATTGGCATCATGCATGTTAAGTTTGTAGTTATCATAGACAATATCTTGCCAAGTCATGCACAAACTCAGCTTGGCATTGTCTGATGTCTATAATATTTGGCAAGCATTTTGTCATACCATGTTTTACCAGGGCTATAGCACACAAAGCCTTGCTAAAGTCAAATCTACCTATACAAAGGAAGTGACTTACACAAATTTGATCAATATCCAGCTACTCATAATCATGGTCCTTTAATTAATGTCCTATTTGCAGCATGCGCTTCACGTTCATTTTGTCATTTGGCAGGAGTTCGGTCATCATGTTAGATTAGCAACGCATGCCAACTTCCGATCCTTCGTGCGAGCAGCTAATGTAGAATTTTATCCTCTTGGTGGGGATCCTCGGATTTTGGCTGGATGTAAGATTTCTCCCTACCAATTCATTGTGGCCATTTTCCTTCATGATGATGTCTGGTTCCTAAGTAGCTGATCAGCTACGAATCATAGAAAAGCGTTTCTGTGCCACCATGCATTTATCGATATAGCTTGAACTAGTGCGCCTCTTTTTCTGAGCCCTGGTCATTTTTTATATTCATACTCTTCAAATTATTGTTAAAATTAATAATATTTTATTTCACCTTGTCATGAATAAACAGTACTTATTAAGTTAGCAATGATAACAATAATTTGATAGTACTTTTACCACTGTCAGTCCTCTACTTTTATTACTGTTATCCCTATCGGTGCTCAAACAATTTATGTATCATTATCACTTTTTTTTATTTCCATTGCTGTTTGTGAAGGTTCAGTTAATAAAGTGTCCAGATGGAAGTTCTAGAAGGATAGTTATTTATTATATTTCTGCCAACTTTTTGTGGAATAGCACAAACGTAGATGCAACTGCAAGTATTCTTTCTTCTCTTTTAATGGAATCTCTTTTCTCTTTAATACATGTTTAATTTGCTTTTTTTTTTTTAATGTAGGAAATCTTATGTCTTACATGATAAAAAAATATTTAATGTGGGAATTATTTAATAATTATTTGTATTACAGGTGTTTTGTTTCTGGAATCTTATTTTCGGAGTTGACTCTTTTGATGCTTCGAACTGTGTCGAACACAGGCACCCATGTCCATCTCTATGAAACATTGTTGATCATCTTGAAATGCTAGTCTTTAATCATTCATAGATGACCTAGGAATCTGTCTTCTTGAGGCTTTCTGTTGTACCTGATTAGGCACTGGAATCTGTATGTCAGGCAGTTTTTACTAGCTTGTTCGTTTGCTTGCTGTGTTCAAAAGAATTCATCATAGTTCTTTTCTACTTTTTATAGCTTAACAGAAAATAATCTTTGAATGTTTTATGTCAGACATGGCGAGAAACAAGGGCTTTCTGCCCTCTGGACCTGCAGAAATATCCATCCAAAGGAAACAACTGAAAGTCATTATTGATTCATTGCTTCCAGCATGCACAGAACCCGATATGGAATCTGGTGTCCCCTTCCAGGCTCAGGCTATTATTGCGAATCCTCCTGCATATGGTTTGTTCTCCTTAACTTTCTTGGTTTGTATATCTGAAGTCTGAACTAATCTATTTAGAGTGGTGTATGTCAAATTGTATGGTTGATAAAAATTCTCCTCAAAGAACATGGCTAAGTAAAATGCTCATAACTTTGCGACAAAAAAGAAAAGAAAAAGGTACAACATTTATAATGTTAAGTCTTGTTGCCAAAGCATGCTAACTTATCTTTTGTATCTTATTCCATGCCTAGTGTATCTTGCTTAACAATATTTCAATCTTTAGATGTCCATGCTCATAGTTCACCAGTTTTTTGAGTATGGTTTCGGAAAAACTGAACATTGGTTCCTGGTTTCAAAAGGAACTAATGAAGATCCATTGAACTTCCAAAAAAGGCCTTTAGGTGTTTCTCTCCAAAGAATATTGATTACTTATTTGCTAAGCCCTTGCTGTAAATAAGTATTAAAATTGTCACTCATGTCTATAGGCACTCTAAAGAATATTGTCACTCTAAGCATTTAGGTGTTTCCCTCCAAAGAATATTGGTTACTTATTTGTTAAGCCCTTTCTGTAAATAAACATTAAAATTGTCACTCATGTCTATAGGCACTCTAGTTTGAGGTATTTACTTCATTTGGTGCTCACTCACACATATTGAATATTCTTACTAGAGACGCGATCTTTTTTTGTCAATTATGAGATTCACAGTTTTTTTCTCAATTTGTCTGTGGTCCATACTAAGATAATACCATATGTAAACAGTGGAAATATGATTGTCTTCCAATTTTGTGGCTTGTAGTTAATACGTATTGATCAAATGGTAATTCCTTTAGAGAACTATAAAATAGATGCAAATGTTTTTAAAAATTAAAGATGCATTAAGAAAAGTAACCTCTTTTACTTTAGATAGAGATAATTAAAATATCCTAGTTCATTTCTGTCCTTTGTATCAACCATCTAAACAATTATTAATTCATATATCTTGGAGAGTTATTAATCATATTATGAAACATTGCTTGCTTGTTCTATTACTGTAAAGGGCTCATGTTGCTTTCACAAAATAAATTAAGGGTTTATGTATGTAGTTCCTTCATAGTCTTATTAGTTCTGTTGTTGCATCAAGTGTTATATTAAATATCTGTAGCTACTTGCAGGACATGCACATGTCGCTGAAGCTCTTGGTGTGCCCCTCCACATCTTTTTCACAATGCCCTGGACGTGAGTTTTAATTGGCAGTTCCCTAATTTTATGCTTTTTGACAGTGATTGTTTTTCCTTAAGTTCTTGTTCCATAAGGATTTTAGTTAGATCCAAGGAGCATGAATGGTAGTATTTATCTTTTTAATAGTGCCGCCCTCATCTCTTTCTCTCTCTCCCATGTTTTCATTTTCTTGTTTTTGTTGACAGTGGACTGTGATTTCATTAATTGTATGAGGACTTTGAAAATTGGGTATGTGCCTCAGTGATCTTTTACAGAATATGAACAAAGATGATCTGAACCCATTTGGTGTGATTGCACAATCTAAACAAAAATGTCTGTAATAAAACTCTCATGAAAAATCGGATGTCCTTGGCTCCTCTCTATTTCTCTTAAGTGAGTTTTCTCTGATATCTTTCTAGCCGTGTCAGCACTTGATCATTGGATACTCTCATATGTTTTTAAAGGATACTTCAATGCTAGTTACTCTCCAAAGTTTCGAAAAATTATTCATCAAGTCTCCAAGGGTAGCCATTTCCTATTGTGACCCAAGAAATGGTGTTTACACATTCTCCTTCCACTATTAATGGGGCATTGCTAGTATCATATAATTGTGGACCAGTTAACATGGCTCTTTCGAAATTATAGTGGATTATGCACTTTAGTGGGAGTGTGTGTGTTGGTTGACTGACCTAAGGTTAGGTGATTTGTGGTTGTGGTCATGTCCAAAACCCTTATCTTTAGGCATATAGCACTGCCATTGAGTATTTTTAGAGGGTCATATCTTTATGAGGTATAAGAGATGCCCAAGGATGTTTTGTTGGCCAGGATAACTTTGTGGTCTCCTGTGTGCAATTGTAGGCCTATGAGAGTAGGGGCTAAATCCTCAACAAACTTTTGTACAGCATATGCACATGACAATCACTTTTCGGGAAGCAACCCTGTAAAGGGATACATGCATATGTGCATAGAAAGAGTCTCACTTGCACTATAGTGATGTGTCTGTGACTTGCTTTTAATGGAAGAACATGTAATCCACATTCAAAGGCCATGGTTTGACTTTTTAGTGGTCAGCTTTAACAAGCCAATCATGAGCTCCTGCGTGAGATTGTGGGTCATGGATCTCATTAGGCTGGTTTGAGAAGATAGTCGAGGATCATGATTGTTAGATCGAGTGGAATGCCCTGAAAGTCACTTTTTTTCTTGACCCATTGATACCAATCTACATCTAGAGGCATTTATTGAGAGGTTAATAATTTTAAGAACTCCAAATATATTGTTTTTGGATTAAGAAATGTTTTCGATTTTTTCAAAATTTTTAAAAATCATTTATAACAATAACATTCACTAGAACTTGTGTGGGGCCAAGGATCCAGCCCCATATGTGTGCCATGCTCGCATGTGTGGGATGTGGAGCCCACATGGACCACATGTCAACACTAAGTGCCTCTCTTTCTCTTCTTAAGTGTTAAATTTTTTTTAAATATGATATTGTAAAAGATCCTTGAGAATGATTTTGTAAGGATATTTTTTGCGGGTAGAAAATATTTTGTGTTTTAGAAAATATTCTTTCAGTATTTGAAATTTGACCAAGTCTTCTCTTTGACTTTGAATTTCTACAGTCCCTTTATGAGAGAAAAAGAAATTCTAGCAAAATAGAAGATGACGTTTGATTGGTCTTATTCTAGATTGACTAGAAGTAGATATGGGTAAGGGATTTAGGGGAGAAGGTTCCTAGATTCGTTTCTAAATCATTCGCGGATTTTTTGGATGGACATCTCATATTTGTTTCTATCTTACCTCACAAATTTCCTAGGAATCCTATGGCCAAGTGAAATTCTAATTCAAATAGGCATTATCCTAGACCCCTTAAGAGCTATAAATAGAGGTGGCTCTCCTCATGCTGCACCATCTCATTTCTTACCCTCTCTCTCTCTC